ATATATATATATCCAGTTAATATTGTCACATTTTGAACATTGTCAATAAACAAAAGGAACTTATCTTCTCTTTCATTACATAAGTATCTACATAACATCCTCAGTTTTGCCAGTTTGGCCCTCAAAGCCCAAAGTCCTCATTATCTGGCCCTGTAGAAAATGTTGGTTGCCCCTAGTCTGAATGGTCAGGGTTGAGTTCAGGCTGTTTTCGCTTGCTCCTGGGTACCCTTATCAAGTCCCTAATATCCCCCAAAGTAGTTTTGTCATTTATCATTGAGGAGACTTAACTCCAGTGTCAGGGTGTTATAGAATCAAAGGAGAAATTACAGTCTCATCACTTTGTAAATGATGAAGTTCTGTACAAAGGTATCTGGAAACCCAGATCCGGAAACACAGCCTTGGGCTGGCCAGGCTAATGCGTACATGGCTTTAACGAGATATGCTACATGTGTATGTGGTGCTGTTACTGACAGTCCCTTCCTGTCCTCTTTTCTTGAAGTTGAAAGAAGAAGACGATTTAACATAAATGATCGCATTAAAGAACTAGGTACTTTGATTCCCAAGTCCAATGATCCGTGAGTACAATTCCATGTTAATCTGCATTGTATATTTTTGGGGACCTTAATGCTTATTCATATGTTGCAGAAAGGGCACAGTTCTAAAAACCAGAGTCAGGAAGCACCCCCCTGAACCATTGGTTCCACGTCTGGTATAGTTATCCCTTTCCTTGTTAGTCTGGCCAAACTAAAATTTTGAGAGAAATGAACTGAATTGTATTAAACGGTTATTGGGCATAATGTCTTCAGCTTTGGATACGAGGAGGTGGCTTTCTGAAAATCTGAGACTCCTTGGCAAATGATCACCAAGCTGTTGGAAGAATTCTCTTTAATGGTTGCAGGATAGAGATTTCAGTAGCTGTTCAAGCAAGAGCTGTTGAACATTTGCTGGAGAGCTCAACAGTATCTGTGGGCTGGTATAGGAGACTCCACGTCTAACACTCAACAGCCATAAGGTCAAAAAAAATTTTTTTTTAACTTGCATGCCCTTTATATGCTTTACCGATCTAGAAAAAAATAATTTTTTAAAATTCTTTCAAGTACTGGTCAGCAGATTTGGATTTCAGCTTCCAGTCTCTGCCCACCTTCCCGCCCACACCGCCCCTCTCCCCGTTTCAGATGGAGAGCAGTTGTAAAGATAATTTTCCTACTGTGTCAGCAAGTAGGACAACAAGTACACAATTTTTATCTACTAGAAAGTGACCCGTTTGATGTAAGAGGCAGGAGGATGTATACGTTTTAATGACCCCCAGTGGCGTTGTCTGAAATTAGCCTTTGAATAGAACCTTTTAGCTACCTAATAAAATGTAAAGATGAAATCAAGCATTATTCATGCAAGCCTTATTAAATTTGCTATTCACGTTATTGTCAGGGAATTTGTGACAAAATAAAATAAAATCATGGCCCATTGTAAAGGTGGCTTTGATGAATGTTCAAGCACAATTTCCATCATCCACATTTTGCTTTGCCAGGTTTCAAGGAAAAGCCATTTTGAAACTCACAACATTCAAATTCTCAGTTCTGCCGCACAAATTTATCCTACTAAGGGGCTGCGACCTTCATTTCCTATAGTCAGTCTTGCATGATAGTTGAAATTGAATTCCCATTTTCCTGTTCTTTATCAGCGTTCACTTTTTAGCATATTCTTTTAAACTGTAGCATGTGAATCTCTTTAGCAACATTATGAAATTATGGGGCTGCAGTGAAAGCCTCTATTTGCATATCTTCTTTCTCTATTGTATTAGAATACTTACGTGTTTATAATCTGAACTGATAATGATCTTTAATTGTAGGCATTGTTTTAAGATAAATGGACTATAATCTCTAATGGGAGTTTTTCCCTACCAGGTTTCTGGAACAGGCTCTGGGGCTGCTACAGAGACACCATCTAGTGAACCAGGGTCTTAGCCCCACACGCTCTCCCCCCCTATAGCAGATCCGCTTTCGCTGATTTATATATTGGGAATCTTTATATAGTTCTGTGTGGAAAAAGGGTTGCTGTCATTACCAGAAAAAAAAAGTTTGAAAACCCTTCCTTTAAGCCTAAAAGCCTGATTCATTGGATGTCACAAGGAAGCAAAACCTGAGATGATTGGTTGAAATAGTCACTTCTTAAAAACTGAGTCGCTGCTCACGTGTTTCACCATGGGTTTTTCAACCTACTGGTCTAGTTGAGGCGTCTTTCATTACGGTTACATCCCTCTCTGGCTGCTCAAGTGTTGGTTACTTTGACCTCAGCCCTGAATATTAAACAAGTCTGTGCTCCCTCTATCTCAGCACGCCTCCCTGGGTAGCCATCTTTGGTGCTCAGACCCCAGGGATAAACCTCAGGGAATTCTCTAGGGGCCATAAGTCTGCCTCTCGTGGGAGAACTTCTGTTTTGTTCTTCATCTAATCCATATGAGGATCAATTACTTGGTGGCTTGTTTTAATGGCTCTCCATTCACACATCCCAGCTGATACTTCAATCTGCCTTGAGCAGCTATAGATTATGGGGTAGGAGAGTTTTCATACATTAAGTCGTTTTTTTTTTTTTTCATTGTCCTCGTCATCATCATCATGAACACTGTGAAAGAGCTCTGATTAATTTAAAGTACTACAGAAATACCATTTATGTAATTATAATTTCATTCTTAATTATTTTTCTGAGAGTGCTCTAAATTTTTCAGCTCACTTTTACCTACATTTTAATGGTGTTCTTAATTTCCTTATATATGAGTGCATTACAGCTACAGTGATTAAAACCTGAAAGGCACCAAGCTCAGGCTGCCCGGGTTTGAATTCCAAAACAGTCCCTTACTAGATATGTGATCTTGGGGAAGATGCTTGAATTCTTGTAC